CCGGTCGCTAGGAAGCGGGTACCGGGTACCAACCGGTTGCTAGGCAATCGGGTAGGTCGCTAGGCAACGGGTAGGCTTAACGAAAACAAAAGAAGGCTACTGACGCTATCCTAAGCCTAACGGTGATTCCCTGCGTACCCATCAGTGACGCCAGGACGGTTTTAGTTTCGCTGGACTCTAAACTACTACAAAGTGAATTTCCTTGTGAAAGTTTGGAAAAAATGGAAGAAATACCCTCGAAGAAAGAAACCTTCAGAGGATTGCAAGTCGCAGTGCCAAAAAGGAAGGAATCTAGTGAGATATTGGAAGCCGCAGGGCCGCTCAGGGGAATACCCGAAACCAAGCCAGTAGATCAGTCTAAACTAGATCAAATTTTGGAAAAAGTGAAAAGGTCTATGGAACAGGACGACAAAACTGTGCAAGCCAAAAAGGCAAAATTAGTGAACCCGGAAGTCGATCCCAATCTCAGGAAAAAGGCAAAAGCCTCAGCCTTAAGGAGAGCCGCGGCCCGGATGACTCAGAAGGTAAGCAAAAGTGCCCAGATGAGAGTCGTTTAAAGAAAAGGGGGAAGGAAAGATACCAAAATTGGTGAATCTGTTACAGAATTTGCCAAAGAAAATGCCTCAAGAGATTGTGGCTTTCCCTGTGAGCCAGGCAGGCCCGTCCGGTCAGGGGTCATTCCCTGACTCTCCCATGGAGAAGTGTGTGTTCTCCAATCACATCAAAAAAATGGTACAAGAAAAAGGAAATCTGGCCTTCCCTAGGGAAGAGCCAGATTCCCTAATGTGTTTCCCCATCACATGCAGAAAAATGGTGGAAGACCCGGAAGCTGTACTCGAAGAGGATTGGTACCTTCATCACCCCATCACAGCAGGGGAATACATGAACTTGCCCAGCACCTCCAAATTCAGACAAGCATGTGAGAAAGATTTAGACTTCTTGCCACAGAAAATAAGGCAGCATTATGCCAGCCAAGCTTTCATACAGCCTATAGTGACAAGAGAATTCCTGTCGAGTGACAGTGACGAAGAAGAAAGTGTTGTCAGTGTAGCAGAGAAAATGCTACCGGAACTGACAATATCAGATTCAGACTCAGAAGAAAACATGATAGAGAAGAGAGAAATAGAAATGGAAATGGAAGAACTAGAGGCAGAAATAAACAAGGTAGATGTGGCGATGGGAGAGGATGTGAGCATGGAAATAGACAGCAGAATAGAAGAGATTGAGAGCAAGATGCAGGAAGAAGAGGCAGCAATTAAAGAACTAGAGAAAAAGTTAGAGGAAAAACGCTCAAACAAGGAAATAATTTGTGGTGGATTAAAACTAGACATGCCATGGAAGCTCGTGCCACTCACCTTGGAAAAGCCTACTGGCAGGAAAGAATGGTTGGACAACCTCATTCAGCAACGTGAAGCAGAGAAGGGTAAATGGAAAATCCACCCACTCGACCCCAGGAAAAAGTTAAGGTGCAGAAAGTGCAATGGACGTTACCACCAATCCAGTGAGTGCACCAAGAAGTGACATGCTTTAAACGTTCAGAGTTCAAAGTGCCAACCTAGTTGTTTAAGTTTTAATCAAATCAGTCCTGTTACAAAGTCGTAATCAATTTTCAAGTGTGACTTTAAGTTTCAAATATTAATCAAGTACGACCAAAATGTGTTCACTGTTGAAGTACCAAAATAACTGTTGTCAAAAGACTGTAAATCATTTCTATTCTCAAGTGCAATCAAAGCGTTTCCTTTTACTTGTGATAAATTGTGTTGTTGTGCCAAAGCAAAGTGCTGTGTAAATGTTAAGTGTTCATGCTCAAGTTTGCAATAAAAATCAATGAAAAGACAAGGGAGTTTCAATCCAAACACCAAAAGTACAATGAAAACTATATTCTGAAGTAATCACAAGTCATACAAGGAAGGAACTGGACTCAGTAAATCACATTTCATTAAGCTTAGAATCACATTGGAACATTAAACGAACTAAGCTTAGAATCACATTGGAACATTAACACGAACTAAGTTTAAAAGCACATGGCAAATCAGAAGAATCACATGTCATTAAGACGAGATCATAAGTTAAAAAACTTGACTCCAAGAAACGCCAAATTTAACAACAGAAGTTCATTAATAAAATTAGGAACAAACAGACTAAGACTCGTAAAAGTGAAGAATTAAAAGAAAAATTAAAACCAAAGGAGAACACATCTGAAAATAATAAAGAAAGTTGTTAAGGAAAGAAGTTTGAACCAAAGCCAGAAAAACAGGCAAAAGAGAGAGAAACTAACCTCACTCCTCGCGAGCCACACCGTCCTCTTCATAACCGGCAGCAGCAAAACGAATGAGTTCAGTCTGCAAGGAGAGAAAAGTAAACATTGAAACAACAACAAACAGCAAAAGCAGCAACAACTAGAGGCGCGAGGAACGGGGACGCACAAAGGGCCAGCCTAGGCAGCGCGCGCAAATGTACTCGCTGTGAGCGCCGTAGAGGAATTCAAGGTTGAATTTTAGCCTTTTGTACACCATTGAACCATCAAGTACAAAGTCGGGGGCAGCGTAAGGTGCGCAAGGCCCACATAATAAGACAGACTCATCATCCTCGGTTGCACAGTGATAATAGAGGAAAACCACGACCGACATGACGAAAGCGGGGCGGGAGCACAGAAAAACCGTTACAGTGGGAGTTTGAAAACTCACCTTGCTCATCGTCGCTGACAAGGTCCACGACTTCAGGTTCCAAGATGCCATCCTCGATGTCCTGAATAACGGCAGCAATATCATCGATATTGAGGACTGGGAGAGCCGCTGGAGGAGCGGGAGCCGGGTAATACACCCCGGGCGGGGGAATTTGAGGCATAGGTGCAAGCATAGGGTAGCCACCAGGTCCGTACTGCTCCAAAATGATCTGATCAAATAAAGACACTTGGATAAGCACCAAACCTAGACCCTAGACCTTACAAAACACGAAAAGTTAACAGAAGCACGGAAACTCACGTAACATTTCTCCAGACAACATCCACATTGGTAAAAGAGCTCATCCTCCATCAGAAGGTTGTCGAAAATACCACCAAATTGGGTAAAGGATGGGGTAGCCACGGCCCAGTGACGGCTCAGCATAGTGGGTTGGACGCATTGAACACAGATCTGGAAAAATCACAGGGTTTCAGGACCCAGAAGCACTCGAGGGACGCCGGCCTGATCCGGACAAAGGACGCCGGCCCGACAATTCCAGAAAAATCAGGAAAAGGGGCCAAAATACTTACTTTTCGTCGAACATTATCATTGAGGGTGTACCCCCAGAAATGTTGCACGAGAACTTTGGTGCACATGATGGAAATTCAAAGGGTCTACCGCGGAAAAACTGAGGAGAACACAGGAGGACGACCGGAGCTGAAAAGCCGTTAAGCCAATATGGCGCGTGACGCTGGAGGGAGTTGCCGCCAAACCGAAGCGTCACCACGGAAGGAGGGGAAAAGGAAGGAGTGGGGGTAACCCACTGCGCATGAGCGGCGCACGCAGTCGAGTATGAGAATAAAAGAGGAACGCCGCCAGAACACTCTGAGCAGGCGGAGAGAAAGGACGGCTAGCAGAACAGCACTAGCCGAGAAATAAAGTTCTAAACCAAGGAATTGGATAAAGGACCAGAATAATTAAACACGTCAAGACTCAAGACAACGCTGGAATCAAAGGAAATCACCGATCAACGCAGGCAGAAGAAGATCAACGCTGGATTAGATACACGGAGCATCTTTATTTTAAAAGTTAAGTATTCTTAACCTTCAAGAGGTTAATAAGAAACGTGGTAGTGTTCAAAAATCAAAGGTGTCACGTAGATAGGTCTAGTCAGTCGTGTAGGAGACACCTAGGGCCAGTTAATTACAGCCCAAGGCAAAGGTTTAAGTGGTCGACAAATACTGTTCCAGGATTATTTGTGTGTTTCAGGTACACTGGTACACCTTTTTCCCACAGCAAGTTCACATCAAGATTAATTGAATTTTTAAAGGCATGGAACTCCGTGGTTGATCTCCTGAATGGATTTTTAAACTACTATTGATAGCAAGTTGATAGTGGTCCGGCAAGGAATCATACTAATGCATTGCTACATGCTAGGAGGGAAGTCAATTTCTTTTTGTTTGCACACCGAGCCAGACTAGTAGGTTTGAATAAGCCGTAGGTTTGGCAAAGTGGAAGTTCACAGGTTTAATTAAGTTGAAATTATTTAGGATTTGTTCATTTATTTATCAACAATGTTTAAAAGTAGAGTCAGTTCAATCAATTTGTACGTTAACGTCCAAGTGTATTGTATGAAGTTCAAGGCGAAGCTCTTGTGATTGTTTAAATTTTCGGAGCATTTTTAGGGAAGGGTTCTAAAAAGAAGGGAGTAGTGTAGTATTATGGTAACATTAACCTAACCAGGTTACAGCAGAATACCCTCAGTCACGGCCACTAGTGATCACTATGGAGGCGACACCTACACTCAGACCCCTGAACCTTTAATTGTTTTACGATCGCCTTGTTCTTCTTGTTGTTATGCCAAACAATGAATAAATAGAGGCGCGAGCCTTCAACTCGTCGCCATTTACCACTCATGCGATCTGTTGTTCACATGATCTTGGCTCTCCCAAAACCCCCAATACTACATTATTATCCTTCCGATACCTGCTTTTGGCATCATATAAAACCTTACTTATTGTCTGTCTGACTGTGCCACGAGACAACGGTTCATTTTCCATGGTCAAAGTGGTATTAATTTGATCGCACATCCTTTCGCATTGCTCCTTGTCTTGAATTCTTTCTCTTATTCTTGCTTGCTGCTTTGTTATTTCAAGTTTTGTCTTAACATCATTGGCTTCATCAAAGAACTCTGGGAAAAAGAAACAAGTTTTGACAATACCAGAAAGAGATAAAAAATAAGATAATACCTTTACCAAATCAGATATGTGCATACCATTTAACTTCTCCACACAATCTTCAGGGAAGATTTTGTCTTGTTCCTCTGTCATACATGTTTTATCAAACCATAGATGAATCAAATCTTTTTCAGTAAAAATTCTGTTTAAAATGCTTTCCATTTTCCACTTTAGAGATTCACTTTTCCTCCACACAATCTTTTCAGCCCACTCTCGGTCCACAAGTCTAGTGCCTCCAAGATCAACCTACAAATATTAAAAACATTGTTGATTTATCGTTTAAATGGGAGTGCAAAGCATTTTCTTTAAGTCAAAAGAATACCATAATTGATTTGCTGCTGCTGCCAGTTGCCTGGGACCACTGCCCTCCTTGAAATAACTGTGCCTTAAGATCTTGCACTGTTGCGTGCAAACTCTACATTGGGAGAGAGTAAATAAAAGTAACTGTTCAGAAATCATGACATTGTTTATAAAGCAAGTCAAGAATGTACTTGTATGCGACGTACCTGGTTCATTTCATTGAACTTACTAACTTCTTCAGTTAGCCTTTCCAAAGTCTGAACAAGAAAAGGAAAATATACATAAATATGATTTCAATGTTTAATAGTAACACAACACATAAACCTTGCCTAACCTGATTCATTCCTTTCATTACTTCTGAACCACATGTAAGAGGAGAGCAGAAACAGCCGATATCTCTAGTCTTTTTAGTCTGAATACAGGAAAGGAAATATGATCATCTTTAGTAATAAGTCTTTACAGCTTAACTAAATAACACAACAGCAAACAAAATAAAATGTAACACAAGAGATAAATACCTCTACATGAGAAACAATCTGATTGGGTAACAGTTCATTAGCACCTGATTTTGCTTCCTTTACCTCAGCACTTTCATCATCAGTCAATGTATCACCATTTTTGCCATCTTTCTGTTGAAGGAACAACAATGATCTTTAGCAAAACTCAAAAAGAAAAAAAAACACAACAGCAAATAAAATAAAATGTAACACAAGAGATAAATACCTTGGAAAACAGATTATTAGCAACAATTGAGTTTTTCATCTTATTAACCTCAGATATTTCAGGAGTCAATGTATCACCTTCGCCATCATTCTTTTTAATATTTTCTACTTCTTCTTCAGAAATTGTACTTTCATTGTGAGTTCCCGTTTTCTCCTCATTACAGCTCAGAGGATCTTGAGGAGTTGCATTATTCAGCTTCAATAATGACTCATCGGGTTTGGTCTTCTTATTGACAGAACTCTGCAAATTTTAAGAGCATATATATTAAAAGACACTAAAGCAAAGCCAACATTATCAACAGGTAATAGGTGGCTCCAGTTCAGTTGAACAAGCAGTCGTAATAACCCTTTTTGAAGTTGAAGTTGAAGACTATACAAAATTACCTTACTGGTTGGCTGATCATCAGTATGAACCCGCTTTGTACCACTGTCCTTCTTGGGAATCTAAATAAAAACAGAAATGTTAAGTTGGTTAAATAAATTAATAAAAGCAACAATAAATTACTATGATCTTAATGCTTTTATTTTTGCTAGAGTTCCCCAGAGTACCTTCAGAGACGCTAAGTTATTGCGGGTAAAATTTATCAGAGCCACTTCAACTGCTCTTTCAAACAGAGGCTGAATATTGAATGAATATATCTTAATCATAATTAGTTCATCAAAGTAAGAGCAGATACAACAAAATAACTACACTTCCTTCATAGTTAGAGAAAAAATAGAAGCCAAATCTTTAAAAGAGCATTACAACACTAACACATTGTAAAAATGCCCTGCAATTAGATTCTCTCAAGAACTAAAATCTGTGAGATTGAAACATTACCTCTGTTCTAGAAGAAGCCGACCCAGATGCTCCAGTAACAGGCTGCTTTGAGTTACGAATATACTTTGAACTTAAACTCTTGTTGGCTGGCTTAATCACTTGCTTCTGGAGTAATTCAAAAATAGATAATGACATAAAGCTCTGATTTCTTACAAAATATGTCATGTACTCATAAATGGTCACACCCAATACTTACCGAATTGCTTGATCTGGACTTTGACTCTTTCTTAAGCTCAAAGAAGGCAAAGTCTTCTGATTGGGTCATGTTGCTTTCAAAGCGAGCTGGCTCGCACCGTGGAATCTTTCCGTTTTTAACCACATCTGAAATTTCTTCTTCACTTTCTGAAACCGAAAGTACAGAGATTTAGAAAGAGGTTAAGATTGTTCACTATTTTAGTCAACACACATGTTCAATAATAAGGAAAATTTTAAGGCTAACCATCCAGCAAACACGAAAAACTAACCTTGAGTCATTTGACTGGGTTTTGACGTCAAAGAGTGACTTTCTGTCTGAATTTTGAATTGGCAATCACTAGCACTCACTTTGACTTCTAAAACCAGTCAGATGACTCAAAATGCAGTGTTTCGAGTTTACTGGGATGGCCGCACAAGCAAAATGACAGAAACTACAATGTCTCACCCAAGTAACACAGATCCATCAATAATTAGCAAATTTTGTAGAAAAGTAGCCTCACTGACATGTCATAACTAAATTGAATTCCACAATCTGAAATATGGTGATTAATTGGCAGTAAGCTACTCACTGCATTTAGAACATATTGAGCAATTATCGATGGATTTGTATTATTCGGACAGTACGATGTAAGTGATTCTCTTACCTGCCAAAAATATTATCTTGCACTTCACCAACTTTAATATACCGGATGGGTCGGGCGTCTTAATTCCATAGACATGCCCATTGGAAAAGGACTTGGGACCCTTTGGGGCAAATTTTTCCAAATCGTAATTGGTAACTATATACATGTCCACGACTTTGGCAGTTAATCGCGTCTCGCCTCCAATGAGGCGCACGTAGGCGTGTGAAGGTGCCATATTCTTCAGCTTTAACTTTTAGTTATTCAGCAGGAGTTTATCTCGTTGGACCACCACTCTCTACGATGCTATACGATGACGGTTGAAAATTGCGGCGCGGTGCCGTTTCTCTCTCCAGAACCTGCCACCAACCGAGTCAAAGTAAGGTCTAACGTGACATTTGGAAGGTTCAAAAAGACTCCGCATAAAATAAACAAAACTCAAATAATTTTCAATTTACAAAAACGTGAAAATATTTTCAATATTTTAAAGATATACGTGGCTTTGTTCTGTTGAAATATTTTTTATTTGAAATCAAAGTTGAACTTGTAGTTGGTTGTCATGTTCACTAGGTGAGTCAAGTCCGCTATTTTCTTTTCGATTCAAATAACTAAAGTTAAGCTATTTCAAAAAATCCGGGAAAGCTTTATTATTTCTTTGCTTTGTTTTTGTCTTACGAAATTTCCAAATAGTTGATTTTTTGAGTAAATCTAACTACAATGCCGTCATACGATGCTCCCGCCGAAGACCGTGAAAAGCGGAAAGTGTGACATTAGGAAGTGAGAAGTGGAAGTTATAGTCGACCACTGTCCTCGTCATGCACGACGAACGACGAATTGCACGAATTCGTCCAAAACGACGACACCTTGGGAGGAATGTGGGAAATAGGTGGTGAATACCGGGAAATAAGATAATAAATAAAGTTCGAAAATTTGTTTAGAAAATAGTATTCATGGGGAGGGCATTCCCTTCCTCTCCCCTCCCTCCCACCCATGTAAAATTAAGGTGCTGTGCTATGAACCATTGAAATATTTTTGGGATAGTCTGTCCGTTGAAAATAAAATGGTTTTAGATTAAATTCTACAAAAAATGAATCATTGTTTACTAAGCATTAATGCCCCGTCCCGCATAACCTCGACCGCGGTCAATGTTTTGTGTCGATGCATCGATATGTTGCCTGAAAGATGAAAGATGAAAAACTTAGAAGTCGCTATTTGTTATGCTGTACACTTGGGTTTTTCCTCAAGTTCAATCATTTTACTTGTTTAGCTAGTTTTCGTAAGTGGAAAATATTTATACCAAGCAACTATGTATATGACTCTCTAAATGTTTGTTTTTTAAAATTTTGAGTTCAAGACTCATGACAAGCAAACTATTCTTTAATATTTTAATCGAAACCTCATCTTTACGATAACAACTGATCAACAATGCGTTTTGCATTATCGTTGACACTTTACCATGATTTTCACCTGTGAATGAACAGATAGAAAGAAAAAAACACCGACCCTAACATTCAGCATCGCGTTGACGTGACGGAAAGCAAAAGCCTTGGTGTGGGCAGAAATCATGGTTTCCTAACCTAACGCTATCGTGACCGAATGTTTCGGTCGGCAATTTTTTACTGTTATCAACACATTTAGATATAGAACTCATGGACTTACTACTATAAAACACGTGCATAATGCATCTGTTCATCTCTTCAGATGATACAGCTCATCTCGTGCCTATTTTGCTATGTTTTGGAGGAACCTGGACTAGTGCCTTACATTTTGTTGTTATTTTTAGCCCGCCCTTCTGCTTTTAAATAAAAGCATTAAAGCGGGCTTAGGGGCCATCCATTAAGTACGTCCGAGCTCAAGGGGGAGGGGGGAGTCTTTTAAAAAGGGATGTCGTTGGACGTGGGGGGAGGGGGGGCATGCGGGCAGTCCGGACGTCCGATTTTCATATTAGGATACGGGGAAATTTGGGTTAAGTTTCGCTGCGGTTTGTATTCCAGCACTTACCAATGTGACTTTTTTGTGTTTATTAAATTCTTTGGAACCACCCTAAAAACTTGACATTTTCTCAATGGCTATAATAACTAACGAAAAGGCACATTTTTAAAAATTAGGGGTATAATAAAGTCAAAGCGGACGTCCAAAGGGGGAGGGGGGGTTCGACGAAAACGGACATTCATGGACATGGGGGAGGGGGGGTCCAATTTAGGGCCAAAAAACGCGGACGTACTTAATGGATGGCCCCTACCTGCCCTATCGTCAGGGTCGGCACGGTGACACACTTTCTG